TTTATAAAAAAGAAGCATTAAATACTAAAAAATATAAATCACACTTTAAAAAAAAAAACTTTCTTTTTATTTTTTTAAGTAAATCAAGATTAAATATAAATTTACATATAAAATTAAGGTACATCAAGTTATTTGACCTATAATTAAAACATTTTGAACCCCTGTAAGTGGAAATGTCTCTTGTCTGATACGGATGTTTCAAAAAAAAAAACATTGATCATGCGTGTCCATGCCAGCCAATCATTTACACGACTGGACGCATGAGTTTTATCTGATCATGACTCTCAAGTCGTGATTGGCTAACTGAGTTTTAATTCGAATGAAGTGTTATTGATGCGGATCTTACTTAAGTGGTAGGTTAGTTACTATTTTAGTAACCACTTTCGCGGGGTTCACCATGTGTAACATAATTATGATATAACACACAAGAAAAGTTTGCCGGATAACAACAAAGAATGCAAAAAATAATACCCATATTATATAATCTATAAAAATTTTTTAAAATTAAAATTTTAAAATAAGGTTTAAGGTTTAAATTAAAGTAAAAATTAGGTTTTTTTAGGTGCTAAACATTTTAACTTAACATATCAAATACCGATTATCAAAACCACATACCTGGTGAATTCACCTCTGGTAAGCGTTAAATAGTATTCTTAAATTGTGTATTTAAAAATGTTTGAAATATATTAATATAAATACAACATTTTCAATCATCCACCAAGGTTGTCAATGGAGCTCAATGGTGCCCAATGAAGCAGCGACTGGAGCCAATGGAGCTCTGAATGGAGCCAATGAATACTACGTAATAGCTTGAATTACTTAACCGGGTCAAAATAGGATTTTCCCTATATTAAAACTAATTAAAAATTGTAATAATAATAATAATAACTACAGTATAAATTTTTTATACGTATGCATCAGGCTGTGTTGTTTTTATTTGAATTGTTTTTATAGTGTATAATATAAGTTCATATAATATAAGTTCATTGATTAATTATACATAATAACTACGTACAGTATATTATATTAGAACTTTTACAGTACAATTAAAAATTTTTACCACATTTAATTTTTTTTTTTTTAATATTAATGGTGAGGCTTTACTACATTTATTATACGTATATATATACTATTGTTACTATTTTTATTTTTAACAATAACACAAAATACGTAAGTGGTTTTCATTCATTTCATTTATACAGTATTTCATTACATTCATTGACAATGTTGTGTCTCCAAATAATATATAGCCATCTAAACACGTGATAGATAAAAAATAAATTTAAATATAATTGGAAAATTTGGCGTATTGAATATCTCATCATTATGCATTCCCCACACTTTACGTACAATTAACTAATTAAATTACATCAATGTATATTGTTTTCTATTCCTAAAATTTTTATACATATCCGATTATTTTACTCTTTTTTTTTTTTTTTCTTTTTTATACAGAACTGATCGAACAGTTCTATACCTAAATAAAAAATAAAGGACAATTGGTATTCTCTAGTAGCACAATATTTGGGAAAAGGGCCTTTGAGGTTTCGTCCTCGCCAGAAGGCCAATTTAGTGTTGAAAGTTTTATCTATAGTGTCTCTGGGTACTCCTATAAATAGCTTTAGTTTACTGTTTATTCTGTCGTTTTAAAAGAAAAAGAATTAAAAGAATTACTATTTTAACTAATGGATAATAACCTAAAAGACCAAGCTGGTATGTATTTTTTATGCAAGCTGTAAGAAGATAAATGATTGTCGTTTTCATCACTCAATTTTTTTTACAGACAACAATAATCAGCCAGTAGCTTCAACAAACGACTTGGATCAAAAGACAGAAGACAAGGACATCAGATCAACTGTCAATAACGCACAACAAAAAGAGGCTAAAACAAGTCATCAGACAGGAAACATTTTACAAGCGACACTCCAAAAAGTGTTTCATATAGAACCATCAGCTGATAAACCAAAAACTTCCAAAAGTTCGAAAAATTCGTCTGGTCCTGGTTCTGAAGATGAAGATGAACGAACTGAAAAAAATCAAAAGTTTCGATCCATAATCCCAAATGGTTCAAAACTACGTTTTCAGAAACTCAGTACTGGATCGCATGTTCACAATCTGCAACCCAAAAAAGTTTATCGTATTAATAATCTCCTGAAAGAACTTGGTATCCATGGACATGCTCCAATGGATGAGAAATCTCAAAATGAGGAAAATGTTACGAAAAAGAAATCAACGAAATCTAATTGTTCTGATGTTTCTTTGTCAGCAAAATATGGAAAACCCCAGGAGGTCGTTGGTAAAGGTATGTTTTATTTACTATATTTATTCGTTTCATATCACATAATTCACATTTGTCGACCACTGACTCAGCATCGTTATTGTTCAGGTGCGTTTGGTATTGTCCGTGTTGCCCACAAAACCGAACCGAAAGTACCGGGAGAAAAACTTTTTGCTGTTAAGGTTCTTTTTTTTTTTTAAATCTTTTGTGTTTTTCATGGGAGAATGTCAAAGGAAATAAATTTATTTTTATTCAAAATTGTGTGGATTAGGAATTCAAAAAACGCCATAACGAACCTTCAAAAAAATATATGAAACGATTGACATCTGAGTTTTGCATCTCCTCTTCCCTTCACCACATTAATGTAATTGACACAATAGATTTGCTTCAGGATACCCAGGGAAACTATTGTGAAGTTATGGAATATTGTGCTGGTGGAGATTTATATTCTTTGATTGTTTCTTCAGGTGGCTTGGATGAAAATGAAGCTGACTGTTTCTTTGGGCAATTGATTAATGGTGTCAAATACTTGCATGAGTGTGGTGTTGCTCATCGGTAAATAAGTTATTGAACTCATAGTATGCGGAATATTTTTACTAACTATTTTGTATTTTTTCAGGGATCTCAAACCTGAAAATCTTCTTCTCACCTCAACCGGATGTCTCAAGATCACGGATTTCGGAAATGGTGAATGTTTCAAGATGGCATGGGAAAAACATGCTCATTTATCACGCGGAGTTTGCGGTAGTGAACCTTACATTGCTCCCGAAGCGTTTACTGGTAATTGGTTTGACCCAAGGCCTGTTGATGTTTGGGCTTGTGGAATCATTTACATGGGGATGATCACTGGTAGACATCTTTGGCGCATCGCCAAAGCACATGAAGATTTGACCTTCAAGGTCTACCTAGAGTCAAGGGCACATGAAGAGTGTTTATTAGCACCTTTCCGAAGTTTAACTGAGGTAATTGGCAATAAAAATATTTGATATTATATCTTTAATAATTCACACGTCTCAATGTTCGTCATAAATAGAATCGACGTCGTATAATGACCAAAATAATAGAACCAGATCCTAACCTCCGTATTACTGCCGAGCAAATTACAGAGGATCCCTGGTTCTCGTGTCTTGATATTTGCTATAAGCCATGGTCTGCAAATACTCACTTACCTACAAATACAACGTGTGGTGTGAATGCTACTAACAGGCAACCAACAAACATGAACAAATTAACTATCATAAACATGGTATAATCAACTAGTAATGTGATATTTAGCGATAGAATGTTTTCTTCGACTATAGTTGTTCAACAATTCAACTGTTTCTAAAAACATGGATATCGTTAATATTGCTCTAATTTGTTAATATTTTCGATATTTTTACAATCCATTTGTTTCCATCTTTATGATCAGCCCTTTTAAAATGTTTTATCAGCTGGTGTAATTGGTTCGAAATTATGCCAAATAGTCTGCTGTTCATTAAGTGTTGGAAAAATTTTTTTTCGAAACCTGGTTTCGTCGTGAATTTTGTATATAACTTTAAGGCATGTAAATATGATGGCGTGATTGATTGGCATGAGAATTCTAATAGAATAGAATTAACTTTCTCAATCGATTACTAGAAAGGGTTGGATAAAAAGGTTTGAAATAAGGGTAAAAGAACAATTTTGACAATTTTGTATATTTAATACTATACGTAGTATTATTTTTTACGAGCCATTTTATATGTATATAATATAATTATGATTAGTACAAATAATTATTTTATTTTTCATGAGTTCGGGAATAGTTTTTGTATACGTATGTACATAAACATAGCGAACAAACCCAAATTTGGTAATCATTGTAATTGAATTTTAACTTAAGTATTTATTATTATGATTTTTCGAAACTTAACAATTAAATATATTTAAAAAAAGTAACAAAAACTTTCAAATATTTATATTTTTTTAAAACATTGTTAATATTATTAGAGACAAAGTATATAAATGGTTGAATCTGTAATTCAAGTACAGTGCAAGATATTTAAAGACATTACAGGTGCTGAACATTTTGCAGATTATTATTTATAAAAATGAATCTGATTGGTTAAATTTTTTTAATAATTACTTAGAAAAATTAATTTGGTTAAATTTTTATTATTAAGATTTCTTTTTTTATGGATGTTGAAATTTTTTGAGATAATAGTAATTTTATAATAATATAGTTTTATAATAAATAATTTTTTTTTTTTTTTTTTCGGTATTAAGGTGACCTCTTTGGTCCGAGCTTTTTATTAATACTTATAGTGGGTACATGTTTTAT